CAGTATTCTTGATTCTATTTTGTGGCATGTATTTCTAGCAGAGCTTAAACCTATTTAGATGATAACCTGGTGTTTTGATTGATTGAATTGGGAAATAATTCTGAGGCCATCAATGGATTATATGTTACCTGTTGTGCTTAGAACTCTTATTTGTATTCTATAGAATACATGTTCTTGAGGATATTTTCTAGTTAGATGTTATATACGAGTATAATTAAAAAAAAAATGTTTTATTAGGTACTACTTCGTCTCATTTTGTGTGACATCTTTTGATTTGACACATTGTTTAAAAAAAAAAGGAAGACTATTGAAACTCGTGGTCTAAAATAATCCTTGAATATTTGTGTGGTTGATGGAGAGTTTTTTCAGACTACATTCTTTTTGGGATGTATAAAAGGATAGGGTGCCACATAAAATGGAATAGAGAAAGTAATAAATTATAGAAGAACAAGTAAAAAATTAAAATTTAGTAAGAATTGGATGAGTTAGGTTATGATATGCATTTTTTACCCCTTTGAGTTAAAGTAACTTTTGTATGTCAATTTCGACCCGTTCAAATTTAAATCGACCTTCCCCATGGTTTAAATAAGGCAGCATGTGGAAGAACAAAGTGCCACAAATAGAAAACTTGACCATCTTTTGGCAAATAGCTACGGGCTGATTGCTAAAGCTATATAAGGGCAAGGATGGAGAAGCATTTTAAAAGTGACTATGGTTTTTTATTTTATGTTAAAGATTGTTCTGAATAGAAAATTAACTAGAACTTTAATTCATGTATTTTATGAGCATAATCATGTATATTAACTGGATATTAAAAATATCTAACCAGCTATTTGCCTTAAGATACTAAAGAGTATCAATTGATTTTCCTCTTTAAGTTGCACTTTGTTGTAATATGTTCCTCCACTTTTCACTTTAGTGAAAAAATAAATTCACAACTTTTCCCTAGGTACAATCTGATCCCCTTACCTAGTAAATATCGAAGTATTAGATAAAAACACGTGTTAATTTTAAAAAAAATAAAGAAGCAGTAACAAAGATTTTATTGAAAAATAAAGTATCAGAGTTCAGACTATCTGTACTATTTATTTTATATATAAATTGTTTATAGTTAAATAATTTCATTATATATATATATTAATTATCTATAGTTAAGTGTTAAAAGTCAATCTATAAGCATATATCATTCATCTATATTTTGCTATAAACACGGAGTGATAAGAGAAAATTATTCAAGCGAAAAATATTTTTTATTTTCAATTCTAAAATTGTAAGTTCCTATTACTAAGAAAGTCAAAAATAAAGAAGCTCTTAGACAAAAATAACAAAAAAAAAGAAGGAAGATATAAACACCAAGTATGGTCCTTTGATATGTAATCTAAATTATCTCAAAGTTATAATTTTGCGATCATAATTTTTGAACAAATTGATATGATGAAGTGTTTAAAAAATAAGTTTGAATTAGATTATATTATATTTGATTGAATATATGAATTTATACCGAACGATCCTTAAATACTCAGTGTAATATTTTTCAAGCGCATATCAATATTATATTTTTCATGTTATATCCTTTATAACTATTTTTTTTTTCTTTCAAAATAAGGGTCATCTTAGTAAAATTTATATTCATTAAAAAAATTAATAAATATAATATATAGTTTATTAAATTACTCCTAATTAATTTTTTATTTTTTTTAAAAATTGAATAACGTTAAGAATATGAAATATAAAGATATAGTTGAGAAAATATATTAATTTTGTTTTTCAATTTTTAAGATAATATTTATTTTGAGATAATGTTTTTACGGATGAAATAATACTTATTTTGTGACGGAGGATGTAAATTCTCGTGATTATATTCCAATTTTTAAGTATTCTTGTTGTGTTAAATAACATTTGTTATAATTAGACTTGTACTCAAATTGGTTTATTAGATTTTCTTACAAATATTCCAAGTCCTTTCACTTTTTTCCCAATCTCCTCAAATTCTACACAACCAAATCCTCCTCTTCCTCCGCCGTGAACCGCCTTCCTCCGCCGTGAACTGCCACCATGATGGCAAAAAACGCCACCCTTTCCGGCGGAGTACTGAAAAAAGTAATTCTTTTGTATACTTACTTAGCAATCTGGATTGTCCTCTCCGGCACTGTCATTGTATACAACAAATACATTCTTGATAAAAAGCTCTACAATTGGCCTTTTCCAATTTCTCTTACAATGATTCACATGGGTTTTTGTTCTTCTTTAGCTTTCTTCCTCGTACGTATCCTCAAATTGGTCGAACTTTTCACCTTATCCCGCAGAGTATATTTCACTTGCGTTTTACCCATTGGTGCCCTTTACTCTCTTTCACTCTGGCTATCAAATTCTGCTTATATTTACCTCTCTGTTTCCTTCATTCAAATGCTTAAAGCCTTAATGCCAGTTGCAGTTTACACAATTGGGATTTTGTTGAAAAAAGATAGTTTTAAGAAATCCACCATGTGTAATATGTTGGCAATTTCAATTGGGGTTGCTATTGCTGCTTATGGTGAATCAAAGTTTGATTCTTTTGGGGTTTCACTTCAATTACTCTCTGTTTTAGTTGAAGCAACTAGATTGGTCTTGATTCAGATTTTGTTGAATTCAAAGGGAATTAAGCTAAACCCTATTGCTACATTATACTATGTTGCTCCAAGTTGCTTTGTTTTCTTGTCAATTCCATGGGTTTTTGTTGAACTTCCAGTTTTTAAAGAAAGGGGTTTTGGTTTTGATTTTGATTTTATGGTTTTTGGTACTAATTGTTTGTGTGCATTTGCATTGAACTTAGCTGTGTTCTTGGTTGTTGGAAAGACTTCAGCTTTAACAATGAATATTGGTGGGGTTGTTAAAGATTGGCTGCTTATTGCATTTTCTTGGTCTGTGATTAAGGATAGTGTGACTCCATTGAATTTGGTTGGATATGGGTTAGCATTCTTGGGAGTTGCTTATTATAATCATCAGAAATTGCAGACATTGAAGGCAAAAGAAGCAGAAAAGAAGTGTCAGCTTCAGCAGGATGATGAAGAAGAAGGTGGAGGACTATTGTTGACAGAAAGAGAACAGAATGGTACAGGGGAGAAGGGTGATTCACAGTACTAAGTTGTTTTTTTTAATTTTTTTTTTTTTAAAAATTTTATTTTAAGTTGTGGTTTGAAGAAAATAGAAATATTGACAAAAGGGTATGATGAAGTAATTAAATTTTATATATTAGTTGCAAATTAAAGTGGATTATATCTAAAGAAAGATCTTATCTTTGACTGCAAATTAAATTCATATTTTATAGTTAAAGAGTTAATATTATACCAACTTCTTCTTCATCAAGGAGTTGTGAAGGTAATAAATTAATTAAATTTAGTAGTAATTGACAAATTGACAAACGTACACATAATTATATTTAGTAGTAATTGATAAATTGATAAACGTACACATAATTATATTTAGTAGTAATGCATAAATTGATAAACGTACACGTAATTAGGGCCGCGTATCGTTCGATTCGGTTTTGAAGTTTATCGATTTGGCTTATTGGTTATCGGTTTGTAGAGATGCTAAACCGTTATAGAACCATTAAGATATTGGCTTATCGATTATTGGTTTATCAGTTTTTGATCGTTATCGGTTTAACTGTTAAGATTTGACACAAAAAACATTGAAAATCACTTAAAAACAAGGTGACAAACCAAATAAACCATGCACATGAGTTCACAAGTTACATCTTGCTAAAAAACAAACACTTTTACATTCTAAAATAACCAAGTGTTTGAGACAACCAAAAATAAAAGTAGGAAACCAAACTCTAAGTCAAAGACTTTATATACAAAATGGTATAAATATAATTATTTAATTTACTATCGGGTTATCGGTTAACCCGTTAAGAAAAAACTTCAAACCGTTAAGAACCGATAACCCGATAACAAAAAAAATCAAAACCGTTATCAAAACCGCTAAACCAATAACCCAATACTGATAAACTAATAACCTTTTTTCGATTTAGGTTATCGGTTTCGATTCGATTTTGAACAGCCTTACACATCATACTGTTATTTTGTTAGTCTATGTATGCGTTTAAATTTAACCAAAATTTTAATAATTAAACATAAAAGTCAACATAAAGCTGAAAAACTAATAAACTTGCGTTTAATATTTATAATTATCGATAATATACCATAGCTTCGAAGAAATATAAGAGATTAATATATCTTGACATTTGAATATGAAAGAAGAAATAAATTGACGCATTTCAATAACGGTTAGCTAATAAATTAAGCATTATTTATTATTAGAGTACATAAAAGTAGATGCACTATATAATTTTATTAAACATCCCATAAGAGAATCACAAATATTCACATTTAAAAAAAAAGAAAGTCTTCTATAATCCAATTTGCATAACGACGAGGGCAATACTGATCCCAACTATTAACATGGGGAAAAATTGTGCGTAAGGGCAATTTTGACTTTTGTCCGTTTTAATATTTTTTTCGGTATTTGAATTTCAAAAATTCATAAATAATTCTCTGCTGCTCCGTTAAAATTTTGAGTAAATTCGCCATAAGTTCATGGGATCTACAGATAACATACTTTAATGCAATTGAAGTGATGATTCTTGCTATAAAATTTGTAATTTCTTACGCCAAAAATGTTGCCAATTTTTAGACAAACATACAACTTTTATTCCAATATTTACTACCTTAGTCACGAGTATTATTTGTGAACTATTTATGTATTTTGAATTCTAGTTCATTTTATGATTCTTGTGGGTGTTTGGAACATGATTTTTCAAGAGTTAACAGACATTTCAGCGTGACATTGATGGATTGTTTACTCTATGTCTTGTTTCCGTGTATCTGATTAAGCAAGTCTTGCGCGCTAGCTTTCACCCAAATAAAAAAGGTGAATGCTTCACATGAAAGATCATTTTACTAGGTGCGATAAGGTAAAAAAGCTAGAGTGTAGCAGCTGCGCGAAAACTGTTATACTTTTAAGTCATTTGTCTTCTTGTTCATTATTATTTTCATGTATGGACGAATCTAATGAGTAAGGGAAGTTGTAATACATTAGTGTTTAAAGAAAATTATATTTTCCTAGGAACTTCCGCCTTTTTGCTCCCTTGTAACTCGAGCGGACAACTTTAGGATTTGAGCTGAAGGCAGCTTACCATTCGATCAACTCTCTCTTGTCAGCAGAGTGAATAATCAATAACCAACGGTATGCTTTTTTTTTTTTTAGCAAAATATATCTTTCCTTGGAGATGAAAAATTCGCGCACTAGCACAAAGCTCCCGGCTATATGCAGTCTCCAATGAAGGGCCAGGCCATATTTGATCCATTATATGTAATCCAAGAGGTTGTTTCCATGACTTGAACTCATGACATCTTGGTCACACGGGGACAACTCTTACAGTTGCTACAAGGCTTCCCTTCTCAAAGCATCTTCACGCATATTCTCCAACTATTATTATGAGCATTAATTTTGTTTGTCAATTGTAGAAGCCTCATGCATCCATCACCTTTGTTCAGTATTAATGTCATCTACCAGTCAAAGACAACCAATGGAGTATACCTGCCTTCGTGACGATGTTTAAGGAAGCCAATGATGCCATGATTACAACGTCTCCAACGAAACAATGCCTCCACAGAGAGACAAAGATACAAAAGAAACTCAGAAAATCAAGAAGACCGTCCAAAAAATGAATATCCTTTTGTAGCATCATACTTTTAGTTCCATTGTTTACGCAAGAAGACCATGCATATTGGATTAGCCGTTCAGCTGACAATGCTCATGAAAAGACACTCCTGGTTGCCATGACTGATATTGATTACAACATCATGCACATTAAGCTACCAGAAATCTTTGCATGAGCAAACCCCATCTATGAAACGGTGAAATCGGTTTCTGTCCCTGACCAATATTTCTCGCTTGTAAGTCTTTGAGATGAATTTAGTTGCAGAGTGGCAATCTTCACAGACTCGTAAGTTTTTCACTATTCGGATAGGAGTTCCAGGAGGTGTCTTCATAAGGGCAAATGCAATAGCAAGCTTTTCACTATGCCTATTTACAGCGCCTTCTTTATCTTCTTCATCGATATCAAGTAACACTTCTGATGTTGAAGCAACAAATCCAGCTTTTCTAATCTCCTTTCCAATATCATCCACCATCTGATGAATAATTTTGTACTCACTATGACTTTTATCTCCTGACACAAATTCATAGATTTCGTTGTATAGTTCAATCATAGTGCTCCCTGGAACTTTTCTCATTCCCTTCTTCGCCATAACTTCCCTAATCATGGTCTTCTTCTCCCAAGAAAACATTTTTGCATAAATGTTAGAAAGCATTACGTAATTAGAGTCATGCATAGGCTCATATTTTATCAGCTCTTTTGTTATTTTTTCACCAATCGTCAGCTCACCATGAGCACGGCAAGCATTAATAAGTGTTCTCCAAATTACTGGATTTGGCTTAATGGGCATTCTCTGAACAAAATCCAATGCTTCTTGCACATGTCCAGCTCTACATAACAGATCAACCATGCATCCGTAGTGTTCTATCTTAGGTGAAATCCCAAATTCCTTTGTCATCGAATAAAAGTAGCCCTTACCTTGCTCAACTAAAGCCGAATGGCTACAAGCAGTAAGTAACCCAATAAAGGAAACATCATCAGGTACAACCCCATCTTTCTTCATCTCCTCAAATAAAGAAACAGCCTCAGTTCCCCGGCCATGCATCGCCATACCATCTATAACTGAAGTCCAAGAAACAATATTCCTTTGACTCATGCTCCTGAACAAACTCAGAGCTTTATCAACATCACCACATTTTGCAAACATATCAATTAAAGCATTCCAAAGAACAGCACTCTTTGGAACATTCTCCCTCTCGATATATGCCTCGAGCCACTTCCCTAGCTCAAGGGCACCCAAATCTATACACGCAGACAACAAACAAACCATCGTAACTTCATCAGGTTCTACCCCAACAACCTGCATTTCTCTAAACAACCCTACAGCCTCACTAGACAAACCCCATCTCACATAACCACCTATCATCGCACTCCACCCTACTGAATCCCAGTTACGCATTTCATCAAACACCTTCCGCCCATACTCAACCCCACCATCACAACAACAATACATGTGAACCATAGTATTCAAAACATGAGAATCATCATCAAACCCAAGTTTCACCACTGACCCATGAACAGTCTGGCCTAATTTCAACTCACCAATCCCAGCACAAGCCTTAAGCACAAAAGGGTAGGTAAACTTATTAGGCCAAATACCATAACTTAACATTTTGCCATACAAACACAAAGCATTATCCTTAAAATCACTAGTTACAGCGTAACTTCTGATAATGGTGTTGAAAAGAAAGGTATCAAAGTAATGGGTTTCAACATATGGGGAAAAGATGAATGATGAAGCGTGGGCAATAGCGTTAAGTTCAGAGGAAATGGAAGTGAATTTTGTGAGCACAAGGGGGTTACTTTGTAGGCCTAATTTGAAGATATGGGATTGGAGTTGAAGGAGTTTAGGCAGAGAATCGCAGAGTTGGAGGAGAGATAAGCAATTCTGCTCTGCTGCTCGGTTCTTGCTGGTGAGTGATAGTGATGTGTGAAGTGAACGGAATAGCTTTGATTTTGAGGGTAAATGCTGCATCTTGTTGATGCCATCAATGGCGACAAACGCTAATCCATTCTACTTTCATTGTCCAAAAAATTATTTCGAATCATTAGTTATTTTTGGTATAGTTTTTATATATACACGAATTTCATTCTAAGACGTGAAGAACAAAGAAGCACTAATATGCACATAACTTGTGCATTATTTTGTAAGATATAAGATATGGACCCCTATTAGTTATGTACTTGAATATGAGTACCAAAAAAAGATGAAATTACTTTGGCTAATTTTGATTATGATATCCAAAATCTTGAGTAGGAACTTCCTACTATTATGATACAATGTGTATCTATATATTTCATTCAAAGTTAACATTATATTCATGTATTAGATTGGGAGAGAGGAAAGAAAATTGAGCAAGATTTAGGAGAGAGAAAGAGGTGATTATGTATATGCGTATTTCAGTTTTAATTGAGATAAAGGTTATATCGAAATATAACTTGTTTACCTCTCTCATAATTAGGCAAAGTATTACTATTCATAACTATGATACAAAGTACTATAACTATTTATGAAGACTCCTCTTCTTCTCTTTAAGGTTTTTTATTCGATTTCCATAGTAACATTGAAATTAGACTAAATAAAAATTAAAGTTTCACTAAATTTAAATTTATGTCACACACAAAAAAATTCATTCTCAAAACTCGAACATATTAGGCGAAACATGCCACCAACAGCGGTATCGGTAATAAGATTAGTTTGCGTAACAAACTAGCCATTTGATTAATTGAATCGAAGACACAATGCGAAGACAAAAACGACTGGACCCTTGTATGGCCACGTCTGTCATTTTCTTTCTTCTTCAACAAATTGGCGCAATTTTGTAACGAACCGAACCCCATTCTTCTCTGTTGATTCCGAACAAACAACTATCGGCAAAAGCGGTTTGTGAAATGAGAAAATTTTCTGTTTTTCTTTCTATTGGATTCGCTCATAGATCCTCAAAATTCCGCAGCAGCAATAATCATCATAATGCTCTTTGTTTTTACAGCAATATTTGCTCTTCTCCCTCCAAGAATCATGGTTAGTCCCCTCATTATTGTCTCTTGCACCTTTTTAAATGTGATTGATTACATAGGAAAGGTTGCTCTTTTATGCGTTTTTCTTCTAGGAGTTCAACTGATTATCGAATTTTATCTGAGTTTCGGGGTTTTCCCCTCTGGTTTCTAGTGAATAAGCTATGAATTTAGGTGTCTGTGTTTACATAAGTCTTGATGATTAATAGGTTCTGATGAAAATTGGAATCAAGTGTAAAGTGTGTGATTGTAACCCCAATTATATGATTTAGACAAAGTATATGGGGGGACGATAAGATTTTCTAATTAAGAGAGTTTGTTGTGGAATTATTACGTAGTTAAATGAATTCCATTAGTTGTTCGTCAATCTGATGTGAGTAATCTTCACTTTCTATCAAATTGAGCTAGAGCTGGGAGAAGGTAAATCCGTAAAATTTAGGGTGTAAGGGGGAAATTCACTTGCTAAATTCGTAGCCAATTGCCATTTTCTTGAAAGTGTGACTCATCACGGCCATAGACGTGAGGCTTATCATAGATGGCGCTAGCAGAAGGCTCAATTCTTTATGTGGACAAGGCAACTTTCATGGTTGATCCCCATTGCGTCTTCCTTTTCTCTTTCCCCTCTTTATCATACCTTGCCACAACCATAAGTGGTGATTACTTAGAACACTGTGATTGTGGGGTGCAATGCTCGAGAAAGTTGAAAACTTTTAAATTTTGTTCTGCATAAGAAATAATACAATTTGGGTGTGTTTAGATCTGCTACTTCCGTAAGCTTCTGCTCCACACTTGTTTAGTCAAAGTGTATGCAGTCAACTCTGAAATTATGTATCTGTTTAGCTGTGTCCCATTTAAATTGATGAATAGGTAACAGAGTGTCCATTATATATTATAGACAAAGGAGGCATTGGTGTTTCACTTAACGACTGAAACTCACTGATGTGAGATTATAAGGGGTTGTGATTCCTAAATGCAAACGATTCAGATATCTAGTCTGGTTGTTCTAGGAGAATGGAATGATAGATGAAGATGTTATACATAATATCAAAATCGGATGGTTTAAATGGAGAAGTGCTACTGGGGTTATGTGATAGAAGGATGCATAGAAAAGTGAAAGGTAAGTTCTATGGACCTATTATAAGACCAACAAATGTTATGAAATATAATCATATTCTTCAAAAGGTGCAAGTAGCACACATTGAGGATAAAATGAAAGAAGGTCGCTTGAGATGGTTTGGTCATGTCATGTGTCGACCTCCAGATGCATTGGTCCATAGGTGTGATACTGTGATGAGTGAAGGTATTAAAGGGGATGAAGTAGGCCTAGAATTACATAGAAGGAAGTCGTCTCTAAAAACCTATTATCTAGGCACAATGGAAGAAAAAGATCTATGTAGGCAATGCCAATTGGTTATGAATGTGTTTTTGTCATGTAAGTTTGTTTACTTTAGATTCTGTGCATTCTAGGAGTCTTTTAGCCTAATACAGATTTTTATGCCAGTAAAAGATATATAGAACTTCTAGTACTTTTTATTTTTATTTTGTATAATGCTGGCCTGAGATGAATTTGAATTGGAGAAACATCGCCAGTGAGAATTTATATAGCCAACCCCAACTTGTTTGGACTGCGATGTAGTTCTTGTAGCTTTTATTCAGCATGTGAAACGTCTATAAACATTTTGTGCGTAGATCATTTATATTGCCTAATAAATGATAAGAAAAATCTAGGACATTTATGTTCTTGCTGATAAAAGATTTTCATACTATATTTTCCTGTTGAAATATTTCAGTCAAGTCTATAGTTGGTTCTTTTCTTGAGTTTTACTCATAGAAACTATTATATTCGAAGCAAGATTCATCTAATTAGTAATTACACGTACTCATAATGAGAGAGTGAAAAATTGAGTCTGAACTATGTGCCATGTTGATAATTAACGAATACATCAATAAATAGAAAAAACTGTGTACCCATTTGGCAGGTTACTTTAATCTTTCTTGTTTTATAAGCTTGTTGCAAAGTAATGCTGCTCTTTCTTCAGGACTTCTTGCACATTACAGGAGTCTTGTTGAACAGGGAAAGCTGCAGCATGATCCTTACCAAGAAAAAGTTGCTACTGAACTAGAAAATCTTCTTGGAAGGTTGGAGCAATATGAAAAGGATATGGGGGAATATCATGTGAGAGTTTTATATTGTGATGATGAACTTTTATTGAAGTAATCTATTCAATGTTGTTCCGAAGACTTTATTTTTAATTTCCATGCTTTTAGGCAAAACTTGCACAATGGGAAGATAATAGGGAAAGTCGGAGGCGTAAGCTTCTTATGGAGGAAGCTGAGGCCAAACAACAAGGTGCATTTAAACCAATAAACAAATCTCGCAATATTTTCCAAAGATGGATGTCTCGGTGAGTGTACATTTTACGACATTCTTATGAAAATGCTTTCTGTGCAACAGTTTTTGTTGGTCAGAGTTTCTTTACTTCAAATAAATATGTTTGTTTTTTTCTAAACAAAGTGAGAGACATTGTTTTGGTTCTCAAAGAGATCAGGAATTGAAGGGATAGGGTGGTCTTACCTTCTTGATACTTTGAATGTGTTGATTGTTTTGGTTTATCACATTCTCTTTTCTCAAGAAGAGATACCACTGACATTAGTATAAAGTATAAATTCAGTTGCTTCTTCTTCACCGCCAGTAATTTAATTGTCATTTTCTTTTTGGCTCAGGAAACCTGAAGATGTGGAAGAAGGAGTCGGGAAATGGGTTTCCTATCTCAATCGCGAGAAGAAGTTAGACTCACAAGTCGGTCGACGTCCTGCTGCTCCTCCAGCCCCCAAAGGACTATATCTATATGGCAATGTTGGGAGTGGTACAATTGCTTCTTGTCTGTTTATGTTGCATGGTTGTTCATACATGCTGTACAAATTCATCTCATCCTCATTTTCTATGATGATGAAATTTTTCTTTTATTAGCTTCTATTAACGATCAGTATCAGCCATGCTTCACTCACAGACATAAACAAAATCTGACTATATATTGGACTTCATGTAGGGAAGACAATGCTTATGGATATGTTTTATAAGGCCAGTGAAGGAATTGTTAAACATCGAAGAAGGTTTCACTTTCACGAGGTGAGTGCTTGTTTGGGCCTTATATTTTAACTTGATTTATAACATTCTACACATCAATCAATCAATCAATTAATCAAACTAGTTGGGGTCAGCTATAAGCCCTATATATCCTTTCCACGCTCTTAGGACCCATTTCATTCCAATACTAGTCAGGTTCTACATATGCATGACAAAAATCATCTCGATTTCCTGAAACAATTTAGTCTGTCTTATCCTGAATTGCACTTCCTCACAATTGTGCTTATAAGCAAAATGTCACAGGTCAAACATGACAATTTGCAATGCGAGACTGTCTGCCCAAAAACCACAACTCCACAAGTAGATGACATGTGGTATCCGATATTATTTTAGCATGTAGAGAGATAACTGGTTGACCGACATTATTTTGATACGGAAAGAAAATAACAGGTAGTTGTCTGAAGCTGATAACAGGTAGTTGCTTAATAGGAAAATCTCCTAGATCTTTTTATGAAATGGTGCAATAATAATCAGCAATCAAAATACATTTGTCTACGAAGGATAAATGAGTAAGAATTCCATGTTATATGAGGCAAAGCATATTGGAGTTGATGCGCAAAATGTTAAAACCCTCTTGGCACCTGAATGGGCTACTGGATTTGTTTATATCTTCTGTTCCTATTCCACCATTTTTCTTCTGTAGTGAAGTTATCTTAATAGTCGTGAAAAATATTGCTTTTGTCAGTCTTTGTTGCTGGCACGAGGTGGGTCTGGCGTACAAACAAATTTGCTAACACTAGTATGGGTCCTGAAGAAAAGAATCGTCTGGCCTAATATCTGATTACTCTCGAGTAGTTTGTCAAGTTCTCTTTTTTTTCCCTAGAAACATAAGGATTGATATCTGTATAACATGTTTGAACTTTGAAATATGTCTATTAAATGACCAAAGCATTATCTGTAGGTTTTTCTATACTGTAATGTTAATCTGCCTATGTCATGCATTTCAATACTTGAAATGGTCAAACAATCCTATCAATCTGCTCTGTGGTCACAATATTTGTCATCTGCTCTCTTCTGATTTATTCCAGATGTTACAATTGGCAGGCTATGCTTAAAATTAATGAACATATGCATAAAATTTGGAAGAGTCAGATGGAACAAAAGTCTCGGCAGTCAAGTATTTCTGGTTGGGTCATGAATCTTCCTTTTGATTCAAAAGTTAAAGAATGGATAGCTGCTGAAGAAAGATATAAGCAAGAGGTGCAGATGAAAAACATTCTTCTGGACGTAGCTGACAAGTTTCTTGTTAACCAGGCAGATCGTAGGAGAGGTGCTAGCATCCTTTGCTTTGATGAAGTACAGGTAAATACAGTTAGACTTTTTTTACAGGAACTTTTCTAACCATACCACCACACAGTATATTGTTACTGAACTTAAGTACGAGAAATGGACTAGGTTTTGCCAACTTCACGTCTTCAGGACCTGGCTTTATGAATTCATCAGACACAGTGGATCCAAAGAAAATGATTAGAAATTATCTACTGTTAATTCAGCTTCAGTATTATATATTGCCTCATTCAATCTGTTTAATTTTATTGTTATAAGTACACCATCCAGTATATGTGGAAGTCTGCTATTATTTGCTCGAGTTGTCTCCGTCTTCTCTCTATTTGTGTTGTGGAATTACAACTCTCAAAAACTTGTAGCAACCTATTTATGCTGGGGTATGTTATGAAGTGAATCTGACTGAAGATTGCCTCTTTTTTTCTGGTGACAGACAGTTGATGTTTTTGCAATTGTGGCATTATCTGGAATTCTCAGCAGATTGTTGAGTACTGGAACTGTTCTGGTGGCAACCAGTAATCGTGCACCAACGGACTTAAACCAGGTGCATTTACTTCTGGAAAATCAATGCATTATTCTTTTTCATTCTTAAAGAGTATTCCATTTGCATTTTCCATACTCAACTGGCTTGATTTTTGTTGCAAGTTTAGATTTGGAAGATGAATAAAATGGAAATCTCTGATTTAATGTGCTTGAAACATTGTTACATTTGTCTGTGACATTTTTTTTTTTCTGATCAAGTATTTATTGTGACATTTCTTTGTTATTCAGGATGGCATGCAAAAGGAGATCTTTCAAAAGCTACTAAAAAAACTTGAGGAACATTGTGAAACTGTTCTAATTGGCAGTGAAGTTGATTATCGCCGCCTCATTGCTCAGAGATCTATAGACCAGGCAAGATTTTAAGGAAATTTTACTTGTTTCTATTCGCTGATAAACTATCTCAATATGTGCTCATATACACACCTTGTCTCCTCACTCCTGTATAATGTGATAGTTAAATCCCATTGTAAGCAGTAAAAGCAGGCCTCTCTCCTGTGGTTAAGAAGCTACATCTCTCCAAGGGTGGGGGAAATAGGACTTTTGAGAAGAAACATGGACAAGCTTAGTGCAACCAATGCCAAATCTAGTAAAAGAAGGCCGAACAATTTAGATAGATCTATTATAACTTTGAATGTTACGAATTACTTGGAGAGACTAATATTTTACTGATTATGTGATTGGTCCTCACACTGACACTGAATTTGAAACAACATTAAGTGCAACCTGATTATCACATACGAGTTCCATCTGAGTGGTATCTCAAAACATCATTTCTTTCAATAGTTGTTTAATCCATGTAAGTTCACAAGTTGCAATTGTCATGGCTCAAAATTCAGCTTCACAACCACTCTTTGTTTCTTGTTCGTCCAGAATACTAAATTGCCTCCAACTAGCTAATAAAGAGGAAAGGGGGCAGAGGGTCTCTTTGTCTGATCCCTCTATGAGCATTAAAAAGCCCTTCAGGTGCTCCATTAATAAGAGCAGAGATACAAAATTTCACCCACTTGCTCCACTTCTCCCAAAAACCCATCTGCCTTAAGATTCTGAGAAGAAACTCCCAATTGACATGGTCATATGCATTCTCAATGTCAGATTTACACAAAATGCCAGGCTTATTCTGAGATAATCTCGATTCTTCTGCTTCATTATCTACTTTTACTATTCACTTTATGTCTCTTTGTCATGTTTCTCAAGATGATTTTACTTTGTTAACTTTCATCATTTTTTGAGCATTGTTATGGTAATGGAAATGAACTATGTAGTAATTGGTACAAAAGGTCATAGCTTATATCCATTGCTTGAATGTCAGTCTAATTTCTAATGTGATTATCTCTATCGTAGTTCTTAAGAAATATCAGTTGCATGTTATTTATGCTTGAGGATCTTAAGATACATTTTATTTTGATTGATTGTTCCCATTATGCAATTGCAGGTCCACTACATTTGGCCTCTAAATAGCAACATTAAACGAGAATTTGAGGATATCTGGAATAAAATTAGTAAACAGGCCGGAGGGAGCATCATTTCACATACTATTCCTGTGATGTTTGGAAGGTATTTTTAATTAATCCTTGATATTTTTTAAGTCATAAAGAGCCCTTTTATCTGTCATATGATAGTCCTTTGCTTTCTATCAGAACATTGGAAGTTCCTGAGAGCTGCAATGGGGTGGCACGGTTCAACTTTGAATATCTGTGTGGTCGGCCGGTACTATGCTCTTGTCAGTCAGAATTTTCCTTTTCTTTTCTCTGTATGACTTACTTATAGTGGAGAAAAAAGATCTGTTAATGAGAGACTTATTCTTATCTATTTGTTTGTGCTTTTGGCACTTGTCATCATGGTCAGTACATGCTTATTTGTATCAGTCAGATATAAACACTTGTCAATTCTTGTCATTTATTTGAGTACCTAAATAGCATTTTGTTTGCTACTTGATATGACAATCTGTTGTGTAAGAAGGAGTGGGCACGGTATCCCATTTTTAAAAGATCATTTATGAATCAATATGTTCTTGTAATTTCTACTTATATAATGTAATGAACTTCTAATTATATTGTAACTTAAGCCTAGCCTGTGGTGATATGAAATGTGATTAATAATTATAATCATGTGACTAAAGGTATTCTTGAAATTCAATGAAAATTGTTTCAGCCCTAACATTTACATTCCCTCAAAAGCTCCAGATATAATAATATAGAAAATTTTCAATTCCCTTTTTCTTTAACTGCATTCAAAATTTATCTTAAAATAAGTTAGTAATTTGACTAATGAATGAACTAAAAATAAACAAGAGCCAGCTTAGGCTTCTCTCAGCTCGGTTTGATGCATGGACCCATAGATAAGCAAGCACCATACTGTGAGAATGATCTGATGCATATGTCAAAAATAAATACCATGACCTGGAGAAAATTAAGAGAATAGGTGCAGAAGAAGCCGGATTTTAATCAAATTAGATGCTGTTACAAAAAAATAAAGGATGAGATGAACTATCTGTACTGCTGTACTTGATGTTGCTGACTGTAGAACTTGTCATTTCATTTCTCGAGACTTTTGGCATGTCTTTTTTCAGGTATTAGGCTGATAGTCTGGTTGCTATTTCTGGTTTGGATAGTACTTGCTTAACCTCTAATTATGTCTATAGTTGGCTAGTTGGAATTCTGACAGTTTGGTTTCATATGCTCTGATGGTCTTCGTGTAGTTCCATTCAAACTGAAGTTCACCAAAGCTAGAACTATAGAGAAAACAAAAAGAGGCGCAATAAATAGAAGTTCAGTGATGTCTTAGCTCAAATATCATTTAAATTAAGATGAAGTATGAGAGTACTCAGCTTGAACTTGAATTTGTATTTCATATTGCAGTGTTCGCAGTTTTTTCACCTGATCGTCGATCTAATAGGAACAAGAACAAGACTGTATCTTTAACTTTGACCTCACACAGAATGCTGTCTTATTTAATCTAATTGTGGACATTTCAGCTTGGAGCAGCAGACTACATTGCAGTGGCTAAAAACTATCACACTGTTTTCATTTCTGATATTCCTATTATGAGCATGCGTATCCGTGACAAGGTACCATCATCAACATTCCTTACTACATATGCTAACTGATATAAAACAAATTAAGCTTTAACTTACAGATTCTGCTGCTTGTATGTTGATAGCCTGCTAATATTACTAATACTAGCACAAAGGACTGCTATCACTAAGCAGTTCCACTGTGTCTTTAAACTAAACCATAAGATCTTGCCTCCGTATTTACTGGATATGTGGATTTCTTGTTTTCAGGGTTCATATTGAAGGGAAAATATTTGGTTTTGGCCTTGACATGTCTGAGATGTGTCTTGTTTTTTCAAATTCAATCAATTTCTTTTGACTTTTTGAGGCATGGTTTCCGTGCTGTTTAACAGTCTTATTCAGCCTTCTGTAGATTGGATTCATCTCTTCCCACTTATCCCTTTAGTAGCTCCTTTTTGTTTTCATTGTTGGAAGATGCATACATAACATTGTACACTTTGTGTCTCAGAATTCAGCTTGGAATTTGGATTTAATTATGTTAAATAGCTTACTCAATCCTGTCTTGTTAACACCTTCTTGATCCCCCTTACACTACTTAGGCCTCTAAAGGTTCAAATAGTTAGTCAAATTTTTGGCAGACTAACTAAGTGATTGAGGTGGTCTAAGACTTATGTTCAAGAGTTCGGATTCCCAACCCGTGCTATACATTGGACGACCACCACACCTAACAAACATCAAGGCAGAACACGAAAAAGAAGAATATGGTCAAGGGTAGGGTGAATGTCATGTTTATTTTGACATTACAAGTATAGCATGAAAATGGGTGGCTGTGGGGGGCATGATTTTGCTTGAGTTCCCTAGTTGTGTGATACCTTGGTTTGGTCAAGGGTTGGGTGAATATCATGTTTATTTTTCGACATTACAAGTATAGCATGAAAATGGGTGGCTGTGGGGGGGGGGGATGATTTTGCTCGAGTTTCCTAGTTGTATGATACCTTGATTCCCTGTATTTTCTTGAAATCTCCCTGTTTCAAAGGATGGAGAGAGGTGGTAGGTCGTGTGGACGATGTAGATGGATAGGGGATTAGTTTAATGCCTGTTAGCTATGGGAATATGTAATGCATTTTACTTCTCTTCTTTGTCTGTTCTGTTCTCAGCATTTGAGATCTATGTTTTACGCCTGTTAACATATTTTAGATTTATATTCATATGCACTACTTTTTAAGATCTTAGTCCTGCTTTCATGCTTCTATGTTATTGCGTTATTTTATATGTTGCTGCTGGTTACAATATTTCTACTTCTCAGGCGCGAAGGTTTATCACCCTCATTGATGAATTATACAATCATCATTGTTGCCTATATTGCTCTGCTGAGACTTCAGTAGAGGATCTTTTTCAAGGAACAGCAGAAGGAACACTTTTTGATTTGGAAAGGTAAGTGTGTTATATTGTTTTACACTCTTTAAGTTTTCTGGTCTACTAAGATGGTGTCCAATTTTTTTTTGTTTTGTATACCTTTTTTATGTGTTTTTTTGCATCACTAGATTGAATGGTCGTTCTGTTGCAGTGAGAACTAATATCTCCTAGATAATGTTCATCAAATTGAGAAAAATCTCTCTGAAAGTAAAGATTTATATAATGTGCTTTAGATTGCATGGAAGCTACAACTGTTAAGTATCTCTCCATCTATGAGTTAATTTTCTAGTAACAATCTAGGCTGTTGTGTTACCTGACACACTAGTGTGGATGTACCAACACTAAACACTAAAAACTAAAAGTAGTTACCTAGGGTAAGTTCCATTACAAGAACAAACTTTGAGATTTAGTAAAAGGAGTGAAATCAATTGATGCCAGTCTGCTATTTGTACAGCTTCCAATTTGAGACAGAGATAGAAGGTACAAAGCTCCGGCGAGATGTTTTAGCTGAAGGCAATGTTAGTTCAGGAGGTGCTCCATCTGGCATTACTACCATGCTATCTGGTCAAGAGGAGATGTTCGCATTTCGACGAGCTGTAAGTGATTTTCATTGTTATGCCTCTGTTTTCTTCGTCTCAGTTTATTTAGCTATGGGCTCACCTCGGGGAAAGGGGATAGGGTTGAACGCCTGACGAAATAGAACTCGAAAAATGTTTTCCACCGTTCGATATTGGAAAAGCTCTCGGGTTTAACAAATATTGAAAATCTCTTAACCCTGAAACTTCCTGGATTTCTCCTTGTGAATTTCGTCTTAGTTGGATTTTCAGCCTTGGGTGCATCATCATTTTACTTAGTCAAAAGGAAAAATAAATAAGTTGATAACTATCACTCGATAGTGTTGGTTGCTTATTGGCATATGATTTTTTTTTCATTTACTACTTTGGCTTTCTTATCGATGCTGAAAGCATTAAAACTGCGATCTGTGGTACTATTATTTCATCTCTTCATTGTCTATAGGGGATTCAAGCTATTATCTGTGTTAATATCAAGGCCTGGTAATTGCTTTATCTTGTCATATCAGTAATTTTTTAGTAGCAAAAGAAGGGAAGAGGAAAGCTGGAAAGGAAATGTGGAGGTTGTGAAAGTGCACCTAACAAAGGGTATTGGTATCTTGAAAAATTTCCGCCGCCACTTCACAAGTGAAGGAAGATATTTGAACTTTAGATTACCCAGACCCCTTTGAACAACAAACTAGCTCCCAAATCTTCAAATGCTCCTCCAACCTCAGTTAATACCTCTCGGTCTGAGTAGAGGACTCATCTCCAGTTCAATCTTCTCTGCTATTTTCTATGGATTTCAAACAGAGTAATAATGAAGGTGTTTTAAAGACAAGATTTAGTGAGAGTCTTGAGAGACCTTTGGGAGAGTCCATTTACCAAGCCTTGTGGTATTAAGAGTAATTCGAACCCCCAAAGTGAATCCAACTAGCTAGCAAGCCTCATGGAAGTCCTCTTCAGCACATGGTTCCACAAGTTATAGGAAAAGGTTTACTCCCTAAGGAAACTCCAAACAAGAAAATGGCAAATTGTGATATTGCCACTTGCAATTGAACCCTATGACTATTATTGTGACCCTTAGGTTGGTGGCAGCTCCTGTTTGTTTTCAAGCCACAAACAACCTTTAAGACATTTAGAAGGGCGAGGATTAACAGAGCTCTTCGCATAATCACAAAAAGAACAGTATCATGAAGCCATGAACAATAGAAACTTTGACTCAGTTTAAAAACCAGCAACCTGTTACACTTGTCATAGGCATTTTCAAGTTGCAAATAACTCCATTTGACATCTCTTTTAATCTTTTTCTTAGTTTTGCATTCCTCTTTACATTTTAACAGTTTGAAAGAAAAGCTGATACAACAGTCTACCATACTGAATAGAGAGGCCTAAACAGAGTCCAAAAAGTAAGTAAAAACTTATGATAGATCCGAAGTGAGAAAATGCAGAACTAAACTGGAAGAAAAAAAATTGAACTGATTACACTTTGGTTTGCGTGGTAACTCACATAAAACAGAATAATTGGAACTGAAGTAGTACAAAAGTCTAAGTAAAACACCAAAGTCAGACCTTTAGACAACTATACTATTCATTGACAGTTTCTGACTTTTGTAATGTATGGTAATCTGTTAATTACTAATGCTTTTCTTCATACACGACGAAGATATTGTGTTGAATGGAACATCCTTTTAATGCAGGTATCGCGCTTGATTGAGATGCAGACACCTTTGTACGTTGAAGCAGTTCAACATCTCCATCCCTATTTTGATTCTTTGCACAATGAGTTTGAAAAATATAGTGCCAATTAAGAGCAATGGCCTATGTAATTAGGTTTATATATAAGATCTTTGTTAACAATTCTTTTCCACCCTTCCAATTGTCTTGCATTTAGTTCTCTTTTGGGACAAGACAGGTTGAATAGTAAATAAAAGGAAGTGAGCGGCGGCACAAACATAGGGTAGTCCTGTGAGATTTCTCATGCTTAAAAGGGATGTGTTGGACAAAATGTCACAACAATCTTGTATCTGATTGCAAAGTTGATTTCTTGGTTAGCTATATCAATAAGAAAGGAAATGTTTTTGATGTTTCGGTAATTAGCCATCCATTCCAACTCCTCCTTCCCTTGCAGTGTGAAGAGAAAAGGAATCAATGAAAATTAGAAACCTGAGAGGCCTTTTAAGCTTAGTGCTTCAGTTTGCAGCAATCCCAAAATATGAAGGTAATCTATCAAGGTACGTACTTGGTATGATGATTACATGAGTTGAGCTGAAATGAAGCAATGAGCTAGGATTCATATAGTCGGCCCCAACCTATTTGGGACTAAGGCGTAGTAGTAGCTGTAATCTATCAAGGTACTTGACTGGTGTCAGTTAAGATTTGAGACATTGTACACTTCTATCTTCTTATGGGGATGTGTGCTTGCACGTGTGCCCTATTTGTGTTCTTTGAGATGAACTAGAAAAGACTTCTCAAGATTTTAGTGGAGGCATCGCTGAACATGAATATAGCTAACTTAATGTTTGAATCAAACTGTATTACCTTATACTGAATGAGTTGATCATTATCAATCCCTTTAAAGTATGCCTATATGTATATAAATTACTCGATACATTACCCGTTTATAGAGATGTAGGATCTTACATGCAAAAGTTGATGAACATGATACTTCTTGTAAGAGAATTTTAGTATGTTCCTTGAAGATTACCTTTATAAGTTCTCACTAACTACAACATACCCACCACTCTAATTCCACAAGTAGAGTCTAGAGAGGAGAGAGGGTAGAACGCAATTGCACAGGGCAATTGTGTGACACAGTACTAATTGGTCAATGGTGCTGCACGATACTCTGATTAGTTAATTAGGTAATGGCAGAATCCTCAACCTTCATATCCAGTTGTTAAATGATAAAACTACCAGACGTAAATTAAGACTACATCACTTACAGTGAAGATAGCAGCAATATGTTTACATCCAACAACACCTTAGATAAACAAGTAAACAAAAGGCAAACACATCCAACAAATAATGAATTTTAAAGTAAACCATGCTGCTTTTTTAAAAAAAAAACTTTCCAACAGATCTAATTAAAGGCCATAGAGAACCCAACAGCTGAATGCAGTATAGACTGGAATAACTTCAATCGTCAGGAAAGAGAACAGGTGTGGAAATAATCAGTTCTGCTGCTCCTCATTGTCCCCGTTTTGCTCTGCTTCTGCAGCCATTAACTCATCAAACTTCTCAGTCTTGCCCAACACTATTTCAATCTGCACCAAGCGAAGATGAATAAATAAAACAAAAAACCTTAGTTTGATTTTTTTTTAAAAAGACACTACCACAGATTACACAAGGATCACTGTTCGGAGAAGGAATTTTAAAAAAAAGATGGATTACGACCCACATTCAGCACCCACTAGCTCACATGAATTCAACATTGTTTTAAAGAGTATAAGTGGAAGAAGAACATGAAAGCTGTGAAAGCAGCATCTATATAGCCATAACAAAATCCTGGCCAGATTCATTTTTCCATCTCTGCTGTTGCCAAAGGAAAATGATTTATTTCATTCTACGGCTTTTTGAAACAGGAATACAACAATGGGCAAAACCACAAGAAAATGCATTTAAAAGGGAATGTACCTTCAACAGGCATGGGAGTGTAAAACTAACTTGCAATCAAGTCTAAGATAACCAAATGGGACTAGACACATTTTGGTGAGCAAGAATGTAAAACATCACTAACCCTACCATCTATTCTACAGCTTTTGTAAAGTTCTGCACAAATCCTAACCCAAACAGAGCAAAATGAGCACACACACATCAACTACATATTGAACACCTTACTTAACAAAGGTCAATGCTACTATTCTTCAGAAACAATCTTAAGTCCCAAGCTAACATTTACCATAAGACCTCTATAGAATGAGTTCCATTACTCCAAAACCACCAAAAATGAAGCAGACTAATGCATCAATTGACCGATTTATAATGCTTTTGGAATTTACCTTTGCTTTTGGTATTGGTCGGGCTCCTGGTTCGTCCCTCATGTCCACAGTGAGTGTCTTGATCTCTGCAGCAAGTGACCCTCAAAGTTAGATGACAAGAAAGATAATACAAGGGATGGGAGTGGAGTAGGAGAAGCCTCACTCTTCTCAACAGCAAATCCATTGTTCTTCAGAATTTCAGCAATGGTAACCACTGTCGAAATAGCTGTACACATGTGGAAAAGATTGTTAATCCTTTAGAAACTAAACAAGCAAGTCAATTCAATTATTAATGAATTTTCAACATAACACAAAAGGATGAGTCCACAAAACAAATGAAAAGAACATCAAACAAAACTGTACTGATACTCTGTATTTCTTTTACTTAATACGGTTTACCGGCAAGCACAAGGAGCCACTTCAAACATATTATCGAGCACGTTCTGCTTTTTAAGTAAAAGATCCCTGGGGAAGCCGCAGGAATAAGGTTGTGATGAATCAGAGTTCATCCCAGATACACTCAACTACTATCTATGTTTGAACACCATGATCCTTTTTATGCCAGAAGTTGGTTCAAAATTGTTTCACAAGGATATCACATCCCTGGTAAAGTGTGCACCACTGTGTATTTTACTCTTCTTATACACAAGAAGCTGCAATAGTAAACAAGACATTCTTGAGATGGCAAACAGCATCACACGTTGCCAAGATTGGAATTCACCAATCATCAAGAAAAAGTCAATTGGGAAAAGGAAGTGATAATGCCTCCATAACCCAAGTTGTAACACAGTATTTCTTGATGTAAAAAGACAGCATAATCACAATTAATGTAGAAGACTCATATGATACTAATTATAAGCAAAGGAAAACCACAAACTAGCACTCAAAATTGAGGGTCGAAAAGATTTACCCATCCCAAGAGCAGAGAGTTCCACTTCATTGTACTGTTGCATGTACCTCTGCAAGAAACATACCAAATATCTCAGGATACTAACTCAGACCAATAGCAACAATTATAGATCCGGTGTAAGTTAACTTTCTCAAAAAAAAAGATCCGGTGTAAGGCCAGGAAAAATTAAATATAGATAGTCATATAGCTAACATTTTTCAAGATTTTCTAATGCATCTTACGAGCTCACTTGCATTTGGAAAAAGCTTCAAACTACATATTTTTAAGTCCTGTGGCAACCCTCTAATTGTCACTGTATGGGGTGAAATTCTTCAAATATACATAAAGTACCTTTTGATAAGTAATACTAACTCTCAATTTCAAAAAAAAAGTAATACTGATGAAAAGCCTCAATTGTAGGTTTAGATATTTAATTGGGATCCTACATAGACTCACATCTCTTCCATTGCAATTGCTCTAGATAACTGAACTGCTACAGCAGATAACTAGAACTTGAACAACATTCTTTTATTCTTTTCTTATGCTTCTCAAACGAAAAAAATTATTCATTTTAACTCTCCGTATTACAGGTAGAAATTTTTCTTCAATCACCCAACTCATCAACTAATTATTGTAATAAGATAAGCAATTTCTCTACAATCGAATTAATTCTTATTATAATTAAAAACCCAGGGAAAAAAACTGATAAAAACCCAGGAAACTAAACCTCAGCCAACATAAGCAATCAGACACATCGAATTAACAAAGACCCAGGTTATTGTGCATTAACTAATAGCATTTTGCAGGCCTCCCACTATGAGCAATATCATTTGACAATGTAAGTAATTGCTTCCGCTAAGGTAAAATATCTTTCAGATTTATATATAAAAAAAAAAAAGGAGAGAGAAGCAAATGACACGCCTATTTGAGATCAGATGACTGAGGAAACAGTATGCAAGATCCAAGTCTTCAATTTTACCTTTTCTCACATAACTCATCAACAAACAACTCAACAACCATAAGCAAATCTCATTTCACATTGCAAACAACCCTAACCAGAGTACATTATCAGGAAGAAAAAAAACAACCCTAACCAGAGTATCACATCATCGATCGGCAAGCATAGATGCTTTAACCACAGACCCAATAACCATTAAATTGAAACAATTACTTCTGAAGCCATATTTTTGCAAATCTAGCTGTTTTCGTAAAAACATCCACAGACAAAACAAGTGTAATCATTTTAAAACTACTATCTCCGTCCAATTACCCAAAACATAACACCTAAAACTTCGCCTACGGATACACAGATTACAATGCATGGCTTCATAACATAGGAAAACAAGTAAACAAATTTAAATGTATATAATTAAGATAACTAATTGCTCAACATACAGTAATAGTGTAAAAGCTCCCTATGATTTCAATGTATATATAATTTAAATGGAAAAAAAAAAGCACCTTTGATAGGTTAACATAAAAGAAGAGTGATTTCTTAGTGTTAGAAACTTGGATTCTGTTCTTCTTTTGCGTCTCTGAGACACTCATCTTGTTCACTCCCTCTGTGATTCCTTCCATTCTTTTGCTGTTTTCTTCTTCTTCTTCAGGAAAACCCTAATTTGGCAGCCTCCTTTCCCTTTAAAAAGGTTCCGTATAATTTGGGGGAAATTATACTCAGCAACATATAAACCCTCGGGTCAGTACCGGGTCATATCCACGTGGTTTTAAGGGTTAGGTACCTTAAACGACAACGTTTTATGACTCTTTGATCTTTTATTTTTCAAATGTACCCCCTCTTCTTTCGAAAATTATACCTTACACCGTAAATAATTTGAATTAGTCAATAGAGTAAGTTGTTGATTTTTTTTTTTGGTGAGTAATTCTTAATATTAGGTATTTAAAGCGAAAACAAACAATTTTTATAATATTAAATAGCACATAAATGATTTTTTTTACTAAAGCTTGCACGTTATTTATAAATTGACTTTTTTGTTATTAGATAGTGCGGAGAATATATACAAAATATCAATAATAGTTGGGATTTGTTCAAAATTGAATGTTTTAATTTGTTCATCAACTTTAGCATTAATACTTCTAATTTTTTGTAAATTACTTTTTACTTTTTAAAGATTTTTTTTTTGTAAGAGAGGAAATATGCCAAAAAAGAATTAATTAAAATGGTTTAGTATTAAAAGGGTAAATTAGTTAAACTATAATTTTATAATATTAAAATAGGTTAAAAAATTATTACAAAAAAATTAAATAAGAAATGTAACGTAATATTATAAATCAAAGGGGATTGTGAGTGTTACGAAACGAAACTTTGAGGGGAAATTTTGAAATTATTCATATATTTTATTGATCTAAAGTTTGATTAATAGCTCGTTGTTAGATTTTTTTAAATTTGGAATCCTCGAAAAATTCTACAACCACTATTATTCAGGTATTCATTGAGTAAGTCTGTTCACATATCACATAGTCATTTCGGTACAAAAAGCTCAGCTAAGAAAACGTTGGCAAAGGAAATCAATCTCTGACCTCTTTTATGAATACCACTTGGTACACCAACTCAGTCATCCTTACAGATCATTAATAGAATTATTACCATATATTTTTATAGTTCTATAATTAAATTTTCAATATATTTTTTTTTATCTTTTCTTCTTCTTCTATCCTACACCATTCCACATCAATTTTTTTTTAATAAGTATATAGTATATTATTTTTCCTGGTGTATGTTTAACAATTTATATGATTTGGTCCTCCCTCTCATGTAGCGTTCACTTGCACGATCCTTAATAATCGTTCGTGGCTGCATATGAAAAATTGACGTCCTCCAAAATAAATAAATTTTCGAGGTATGATAAGTTAACTAGATACATTAATTTAAAGAGTAATTTAACTATTATATTTTCTCACAAATTTTTCTTAAAATTAGAAATAATCAATGACAAACTTATTAAAAAGAAGGGTAATTTTAAAATAAATAAATAATAGTAGTACATTTTAAAACTATGAAGTATTCATTCATTTTGAATTATTAAAAATGTGAAATTCATTTATATTAAAATTAAAAATAGAGGAAGTATATTGTTGTATCATGCAGTGTTTACCTGCTTTTACAGCGTCATCATTTACGTTTGAATTCAATTTGTTTAAATGTTAGGCAATTATAAGAAGTTTTTTTTTTTTTAGTAATGCCTTATTCACAATTACAGTATTAAACACGTTTCTTTTTTCTTTATTATATTTAGAACTTGCATGTCTCAAGCGTGTGGACAATTAATGAGAAGAATCAAAATACTAATATTGACCAACTTGTATATTGTAATATTCTTTATTATAAATAATGATGATACTATATTCTATAAAGGTGTGTTGCGCATGGGACACGGTTAAACAATTTGCAAATGTATTAGACTGTATATTATATTTGACATGTTACGGTTAAATTTATCTATAATGACGTTGTTTGTTTGGATATATTTAGAGTATAGTATTATTACAAATAATATAATATACAAAAAAAAGGTTTCAATTTTTTTTTATTATTATATTAAATGTTATGATTTACAAGGCATAACAACTTATGTCACTTAATTCCTACATGACTTATGGTGATAGAAGCATAAATCCAGTTCATAACCGAAAAGGTATGCATTTACAAGACATAACTTAGTTCGTACATAATTTATGCCGATAGAGATATAGTTCAGTTACAAAAATCACAAAGTTATGCCTTACAAGACATAACTTATTCCACAAAGAACTTATGTCAGACAAGGTCAGAGATACCTAAACTTATACCAAGCAAATCAGATAACTTATGTTGGATAAAAAAAAAGTTCTCTAAACTTATGCATTACAATCTCAGGTCATAGAGAAAAATACTTTAACCCGCAAATTTTCATTAAACGGACATAAAAACCAACACTAAAAACCATCATATTTAACAATAAAAATTTAAAACCACCCAGAATTGATGCCGTGCAAAAACTTTAACATACTTTAACTAAAGGCAATAGTTCAGTTGGCACCTTTTTATAATTTGACCAATTATTTCTACTAAAACACAATTCAGAATATTGTTACGTGGGTGTATTTTTTTACTCCATTTGACTATAATGATATATCAATTAAATAATTATGATTAAGTAATAATTGTATATATTCAAATACATATAATATATTTATTAAGTCGGTGTAAACACTCAGGGTGCATTTGGTATGAAGGAAAATGTTTTCCCGGAAAACAAGTAGATTTTTGACTTATTTTCTCATGTTTGGTTGGTGAGGAGAAAATATTTTCCGGAAAAGATTTTTAGTGTTTGGTTTTTGAATGAAAAATATTTTTGAGAAATATCTTTTATTTTTACTAGAGTAGAAAATATTTTCAAATATTTTTTGAAAACAAACTTAAATTTTTTTTTTGGGATGG